CAATAAAATATTTGATTTCTAAATCAAGACAAAAATACAAAAAAATTTCAAAATATTATTGAAAGCATTAGGAAAAATCATGAAATTCAGTCTGAAAACCGGGGAAAAGTTTTGGAATTTTAGGACGAGGAATTTGTGGTAACTCTGCTCAAGCGTGATGAACAATGTTGCAAAAAATTTTGACATTTTTTATGAAGCAATCATCTTGTGCGTTCTACATAATTATTTTGACGGTCCAAACAAAATTATTTTTAGATCTATACGTAGCTAATTTTTTAGATACTTCAACGAAACCATTCTTTTCTAGTAAAAACTGATTCAAAGCAGTAAATTAAATCTTGACGTTTTTTTATGAAGCATCTGTTCAGTAAACTTTGACAGTAACTAACAGTGATATCATTGTTACAATTTTCTACTCAACAATGGAACTGTTACGTGTATTACATTTGTATTGTTGAATAGAAAAATATAATATTGATATAATGTTACTGTTAGTGTTTACCGGACATGTATCTGTAGAAAGAAAAATAAATGTAGATTTATTTTTTTAAATACGAGCGCTATTAAGTTTAAACGTCGGTCAACTTCGATACTTTCTGGCGACATTGCGATTGGCACAAATTTTTCTCGTTAAGGATGACGTTTCTCGCGTGTTACATATGAAAATAATTTACGGATAATAGGTGTTTATATGAAGATTTACTTCTGTATATCGTACTTTTTTAGCTTTGATATACACTTGAATGTACCGAAAAAAATGACCGTGACCGACTCACTATTAGCGATGACTGTTGTTAAAACAGTCTGGCTGGAAAAAAAAATTCCAGCGGTCGCGAGGTGGTTTGCACGTCGATGCTGATTTACAATGCCGTCGCCGTACGTGACGCGAAGTCGCAAACAACGAGAATGTGATTTATCGCGCGTAACGCGCTAATCGGCGGCACTGTCAAAGTCACGCCGTCACGCCGCTGCGCCGCTCACAGTCTGTCCCCTTTATCTCCCTTCTCTTTTTTCGCGCCTATCTTTCTAAGTCACGCCAGCTGGAAAGAGCGTCACGACGCTCGCGGAATTATCTCGGGGAATACAATTTTTCGGCAGCTATCGGAAAACGCGGTGGAATTGAAGTCTCGTGGAAGTAGTCTTCCTCTTCGAAAGACAAGTAGCAATTACGGATGTATTTTAATAAAATGAAAAAATTGTGAAAGTTTATCTGTATTATGTATTTGGAAGTAATACAAAAAGTTTGGTGGCAATTTAGAATCTAGATAAAAAATTATTTCAATAAGTAGACATGTTTTTAAAAAACAATTCAAATAAAATGAGAAAATTTTTATTTAGAAATACATAAATTATAAAATTGTATTGTGTTAAATATAAATATTTTTTTATCTACCATTCATTTTTATATAGAAAGTATGTTTCCAATTTTAGTCACTTTATACAGAGATTATACATCTGATACATCTTTGAACATTCGAAAAGAAAATTGTCAGATAAAACAAAAGACACAATTTCACGTGACTAAATAAATCACGCTCTTTCGAGCAATTAAAAATATCAATACTTAATTAACAAAAATTTAACGAAAGAAAATCGCGAGACTCTTCTTCAAGTACCATCGATAGACGATACGGACGATACTGTTGCATTATCCGCCGAAAGCGTCGTCAGCTTTCGTTCGAGGAACGGAATCAAAGCGAAAGGAAAAGGAAGGGAGAACAAATGGTCCACGACTAACCCAGTTTCAGCCTCCGAATCGCCGAGACGTAATTTAAACGCCTCTATTACAAAATTCCTCTCCCGCAGGCAACGCATCTGTATTCAGTACACACACACACACACACAAATGCACGCAGCGCACACACGCAAGAGAGAAGAGCGAGAGCGAGGCCCACGCGAGAAGTCCATCGTCAACAGACGAGACGCGCGTGAGCGTCTCGCCCTCCCTCCACCGCGCTGCCCCTCGCCCCCCTCCCTCCACCCCGCGTCCCCGCCCGCCCTTCATGCGCGCCTCTCGTAATAATAGAAGGACGCGACGGAGCAAGAGTGCCGCGCCGGTTGGCGGCG